ATTATTCTCTTACGTTGTGTAATAAAAATTCTATTATTATTCGAATGTTGTTCTTAAATTATGTCCAATGCCGTAGCATCTTCCGTGGGCAACTTCATTCTGTTAATTTTGTGTCACGGTGCGCGCGCATCGTAAAATTTCACTCTCATCAATTTTACATAACGCGCCTAAAGAAGATCATTCTAACTTCAAAAATCATTTGTATAACATGTATCTTTATATGTATACAAGGTGTCTCAAAAGAAAGTTCATATTTAGTTGATTGGAAAGCAATTTGCCTGAGTAAATTTCACGAACTCGTGGCAGAGACGTATTGGACGTGTATGACGTTGCTCCGTCCTGCTGTCCAGCTGCTGCTTTGGTTATAGCCAGGAAAGTTTTAAAGTTCAGGCACCAAGACGTCGTCTAACATATAACGCTCTGAAATTAAATGTAAACTTTCTTTTGACACCTGTTATATAATTCTACTGTACGCACTGTATGTCACTAACTCCTCTTGAACGCCTGGACGGATTTGAATGATTTTTTGTATGCGTTTGGGTGGCACCCTGGATGGTTTAGATTCACAAATCAGACCGGCAGATGGCGCTGCAGTCGGTACTTTCATGCTTTGTTTAGTATCCCAATCGTTTGAAATATCAGGCAGGCCAACGTATATCGGATCCGCTAGTTTATATAAAATCATATTATACACTTATGAACGTCAAAGAAATATGTTCTACGCTTCCGTTTTAATACATATAATCCTCTTCCAAAACACTGAAAGCTTGTATATATTTTTAAGTGTATGTAAAGATAAATTTGGACGTGACAAGAAAAAAGCGTGTCCATACTAGACAGTTACAGGTCTTTCGACACTTTGTTACCAACGCATCCTGTTAGTTTATGACATGTATCACAGAGCTCCAGAAAGTAAAGAAAATCTTATCGAAACTGGAAGAGTGGAGGACACCAAACTTCGAGGCCGATCCCCTACTCTCTGGATCGATCAAGTAAATGCCCTTATAGGTCTCATCATCACCCCGGCGCGGCGCAGAGGCTTGCCAAAGACAGGGCGACTGGAGGAAGATATGCGGCGCCACTAACACAACCATCAGAAATGAAGAGCGTAACTGAAGACGAAAGATAAATTATCGATGAATTATTTACGATTACCCAGACACTTTTAGCTTATCAAATTAAAAAACCAGCCAGTTAAGATGCACGCGATATAACATTAACGAAGCGACGGTATTTATAAGCGAACCACGTCAGATCCGCACAAAATAAAACACCGAAACCTGTCATTCATTACTTACAGAAATAGCATCACAGCTATTTCTCGATAAAAGATTTATTCCCGATAGCTTTTAACGTATAAATAAGATACATTGGAAGTGTTTTAACAAAATTAGCAAAGACTTATTCGGAAACTGAGTCTCTCGTATTTCAACCAACATTTGAAGAACGGCGCAACTTAGCGAATAAACTTAATGCCCTATTATTTAATTAGTGATTAAAGGAAACAAGTATACCTTTTAACATTGTACATTTTTGTGAATGATGAACTCAAATCGAACAATTGTGAGTGTTTTACAATGTTTTGTCACATTTTATTTTGGGTAGGAAATTTTGCAAACATATAGACGAATTATGTACTTACTTTGTAAAACCAATACTGATTTCCAATAATAGGATCTGGCCATTTTTTGTAAATGCCGATTCCATAATTATGGCATCATCTGGTGTCACCCATTTGGATGTACAAAATGACTAGGACACAATCTGAGACCTAAAAAAATGTATAGCCACTGGTTTTATTATATTCAGTATTTGATTGTGTCTTCAAAACCGGTCAGAAAACGATACAGAATCTTAGCTTACTTTTAAAAACAATTGCAGATCAAAGGATTTGTAAGTTATTCAATTATTAAAATTCTTACTAAGGTTACAATACGTATTTAAATTAAAAATTAATCAATACAATGTGAACTCGCAATAAAAATCCTTACAGTAACAATTAAACTCATTAAAATATATTAACTGAGATTTAAGTATTGGAATGTATGAACTTACACTGAAACAATCGCTTAATAAGATTAACCATACAAAGGCGAAATACAATATCCTCTGATTACGGTTATTCGATTCATAAATCCGTTTAAACTTTAACCCATCAGTGATCTCAGTTGAAATTCAATAACTTTGATCCCTCAGGCTTCGACGGTGATCTAGAATCTGCCATAACCGGTTTTAATGTAACGGCGTATTGTTATACTATGAATTTATCTTTAAATTACTGCTCGAATGTATTAGAATATTTTAATCTTATTAGCAAATTAAAGATACTTTAATGAAAGAGTGGAACAGTGTTAGACTAGTGGCTTCGGCGTCGTAGGTTCAATCCCCGGCTGTGCACCAATGGACTTTATTTCTATGTGCGCATTTAACATTCACTCGAATAGTGAAGGAAAACATCGGGAGGAAACCGGCTTGCCTTAGACCCAAAAAGTCGACGGCGTGTTTAAGACACAGGAGGCTGATCACCTACTTGCCTATTAGATTGACAAATGATCATGAAACAGATACAGAAATCTGAGGCTCAGACCTAAAAGTTAGTGCCACTCGTATTTTGATGTTCAATATTTGATTGGGTATTTAGATTACGGGTTCGAAAACAAAAAGCTTATCTAACTAGTTGTCACTTGTTCGGACTATTACCTGCAGCTTAGTTTCATTATCGGACGTCAAGGTAGAATACCAAATACCATCCGTATTACCTCGACATCCGTCGCTCCACAACTGAGCGTTTATTTAGGCAGTTTTTGCCAGGCACCATCACTTTGTAGAACCAGCTGCCTACAAGTATTTCCGAACCAAATCGACTTAGGGTCCTTCAAGAAAATAGCGTACCAATTCTTAAAAGGCCGGCAACGCACTTGCGAGCCTTCTGGCAATGACAGTGTCCATGGGCGGTGGTATCACTTAACATCAGGTGAGCCCTGTCCGTTTGTCTCCTAATATTACATAAGAAAAATCTTTACAAAACATTTGTATATCGAAGTATTTGTTAGCTTTGAATATGTAATTTTGCATTTTTTAAATTAGATATAAGATGTACACAATCCTTTACACAGTAGTACTATGACATTTAATCATAAGTTGTAACATTTATCCGTTCTCGCGATAGCGTGTAAGTTATGAAAACGGTTAATTGTAATTTATGTTCCAGTTTATTACTTAGGATGCCGTCGTTAAAACTAACAAACCAAATCTATGGTTATAAGCCGCTTATAATTCAACTACGTCAATACTATTTATTTGCTGAAGATATGATAAATTGTAATCCTACGAAGATATATTTTTAGACCGTATTGGTAATTGAGGTATTATTACTATAGCGAGAATTTCATTTATATCGAATAACAATACTGATTATGCACCTCAAACACATGCCCATTAGAATGCGATACCTACAAAGCCTGATGTGGTCGTGTTGGAACCGCCCGATGTGATTTGGGTCATCCGGCTCTCTGATGCCTGGCGTGAATGCGGGAAATGCGTGGATACATTTCTATGATTCTTAACAAAAAGTACTAATCCTCCTGGCTAAGCGGTTTCGTAAAGAGGCCTGGATCCACAGATTATAATGATCTGCAATTTGTTTTGCCTTTGATATATTCTCTATGGCTAGTCTTCCTGCATGAACAATGTTAGGTCATAGATCTCGACTCTTTGGTTCAATGCTTAGAATGATCCCAAAATCTTAGAATTGCTTTTACGGGCTAGAAATTCTGTTGAATTTTATTGTTATATTTTTTTTCATATATGTATGTCAAAAAGATATTGTACACTTATGTATGCTTTTAAGAAGTGTGCTTCAAGATGTTATTTAACTATCTATTTAGTCATTTAGTTCAAAAGCGGACCCGAAAGAAGTTATCCACTACGTCTTAAATACAATAAAACTAAATGTAAATTTAAACCATTGTCGTATCCACTTGAACACACACAAATTTCATAAAAATCGGTCCAACCAGCGGTCGAGCCTGGAAGAGAACGTTAGAAAGTGATAAGTCTGCCAGTCCTTTTCATTTAATTATGTCAATTGTATTATATCTCTGAAACGAAGTGTTAATAAATAAATAAAATAAAAATCACATGCCTATGCTTATAATGATAACATGTTAAATATATAATAATTATATAACATATTTTATATTTTATTATATAATATCTCTGAACGAAAGCCTTAACGAGCCTCTTTAAAGTATATAAACGCTTAAATTATTGCAACTTGACGTTTCGAGTGCCTTTCAGCATACGTGTTCGGAGAATATCTTTATGACATAACTCTGCTACTTGTTAAAATACTCCTAGTTGAAATTGTTTTTATATGCAATAATAACTGATAATTTAACTAAGAATATGTATTAGTCAAGCTATTATAAGCCAATGCAATATTCCAAAGGTTGCGCATCAAATTTCATTTTTAAAATGTTTCCTTATAATTAATTTGATTATTGACGCTTTAGGTTTTTTGGTGTTTCCTTACACAAAATGTCCTTTGAGCATACACCCGCTCATTGTTAACATGTATTTATAAAGATATTTTATGAAACCTGTTACAATTCAATATAATCTTTGTCAGTATCAGTTTATATATGTAAGGAAAACATATTTTCCTATACAAACTCTTTTTATAATTTATTTTTCTTCTTTGCCGTCCGATCGACGATTTTTAATTTGTCACTTGACATAATAGATGTAAGATGTTTTAATTTTTTCATTACATTATTTTATTTTATAAAACCTAAAATAGAGGCTTTAAATGTTGTTTCTTTTGTATTCACAGGTGAGTGAATAATTTGTAAATATATATTTTTCATTAAATGTAAATTAATAGATATTTCTTTAGTAAATAAATCTTTTGTATTCACAGAGAAACGCAGTTGCGCCATATTTATCCCCAGTACTCGTATAAGCGATCGATACCATTATAAAACAACATTTTCTGCAATATGGAAAGATTGAGGTTTGATTTTATTGTGAAACCGTCAGAAGATGAAAAATCAAACATCATTTGCATAGACACGATCGCTACAACTGGTGGACAGGTTTTTGCAATTCCGGCCGAGTTTCAGCCTGCAAATTTACACCTAGCTGTAATAAAAACTCCCAACTACATTAAAGTAAAAAAATCTTTAAAGAAAAGATATCAAACTAGAAAAGTATGGATAACCATTACAGAAGAGTTATCAAATATATATTTAGATGAGGAGCAGAATATTCAGTTTAATGATTTTTACCTAGAAGAAATTTTGAAAAAAGTAGATAATGCTGAACCTATACCTAGTGGCTCAAATGAATCGTTTGAAAAACTTTTAGAGAAATTAATTGAAAAAAACAAACAAAATCTGAAACTCCAAATTTAGGGAAAATTGCAAAGGAATTTATGATTGAGAAATTTACTGGTAAGAACTCAAATGCTAACCAGTGGAAAAAAAATTTCAATAAGGAGTGTGAACGTTTCCAAATCAATGAAGACAAAAAGAAAATTGAAATACTAAAAAATTTTTTGGAAAATTTTAGTATAGATTGGTACAGTTGCATGCTAATAAAACTAACAGTGGATTCAGAATGGATCAATTGGAAGAAAAACTTTTGTGAGACGTTTGCAAGCAAAGGATGGTCACCCATTAGATATGCTCTAGCTTTTAAATATCAAGCAGGTGCATTACTTGAGTATGCTTTAAAAAAATAAAAACTGTTACTGGAAGTAAGAAAATCAATTGATACTGGGACACTCATAGATATTATAGCATGTGGCTTACCTAATAATGTGGTTGATAAACTTGACAGAGAAAGTTTAAAAGGAACGGAAGATCTCTACCATGAACTAGGAAAACTGGAACATCTTGTTAGAAAAAAAATATATGATAAAAAAGATACAATACATTTTGACATTAAATCAAAAAAAAATGAAGGGAAAAAGCCATGCCAAATCTGTATCTTCGAGAAAAGAGGGAAACGTTTCCATCCTGAGGAAAATTGCTGGTTTAAAGAGAAAAATCAAAAAGCATTTATCAAATCTGTAAATAACTCAGAATTGGAAATTGAACTGAATGAAGAGAATCCAAAAAACTAGTGCCACCATTAATAAAAGTCAAGTTACTATTAAATGATACTTTAAATGTAACTGGAATTTATGATTCAGGTTCAAATGTTTCATTAATCAATGCAAGATTATTGAATATACAGCCAAAAGAAAATGAAAGTAACATACAAAAAGTTAACTTGAGAACTATTAATGGTGAGAAGAAAACAAAAGGTATGGTGACACTAAAAATAAAAATCTTTGATATTGCAAGAAATATGGATATTTTTGTAGTAGATAATGAAAATTTTAACTATGATTTTCTAATTGGTTTGGATTGCATAAAAGAATTTAAATTAATGCAAAATGAAAAATTAGAGATCATTCAATGTAACAACCCAAGAGAAAAGAAGATAGCCTAAAATGAAGAGGATATAAAAAAAGAAAACTTCTTTAAAAAAAATGTCAAAATTCCTGATGTACTAGGTGACAAAAATAAAGAAGACTTTCTTTTATATTCTGAGGTATTAAAAAAAGGAATAAAACACACGAATAAATGTGATATAAATTTCAATGAACACATGGACTCGAATAGATTTGAAATATTTGTAAATCATCTAGATTTATACCAACAATCAGAAATTAATAAGTTGTTAGAAAAATATAAATCAGTCTTCGCTAAGGATAAATATGACATCGGCACTGTACGAGATTATGAAGCTCATATTGACTTAATGGTAGATAAATATTGTTACAAACGTCCTTACAGATGCACACCTGAAGATAGAAGAGAAATAGAAAATCAAATATTAAAACTTTTAAAGAATAATTTGATTGAGGATTCTTACAGTCCGTTTGCTGCCCCAGTAACTCTGGCATATAAGAAAGAAGATGAAAGAAAAACAAGACTGTGTATAGATTTCAGAGAACTGAATAAAATTGTCGTTCCTCAATCACAACCTTTTCCGTTGATTGAGGATTTAATGATAAAAACAGTAAATTGTAAATATTTTACTAGTTTGGATATTAATTCAGCATTTTGGTCAATTCCTTTAAAGATTACCGATCGATACAAAACTGCATTTATTACACAAGAAGGTCATTTTCAATGGACATGTCTACCATTTGGGTTAAAGACTGCTCCAGCCATATTCCAAAGAATATTGGGAAACATCATTAGAAAATACGAACTGTCTAATTTTGCAGTCAATTTTATTGATGACATTTTAATTTTTTCTAAGACTTTTCAAGAACATTTAGTACATCTGTCAAGATTAATGGAGGCAATACTAACAGAAGGCTTTAGGCTTAAATTTTCAAAATGTTCTTTTGCAAATAATCACGCCAAATATTTAGGTCATATAATAGAAAACAATTCAATCAGACCTTTGAAAGATTATTTAACTGCTGTCAGAAACTTTCCCGTTCCTAAGACAAAGAAAAATATACGACAATTTCTAGGAAAAGTAAATTTTCATCATAAGTTTGTACCACACAGTGCAATTATTCTGGACCCGTTACACAATCTATTAAGAAAAGATGTGAAATTTATATGGTCCACAGAATGTCAGGAATCATTTGAAAAAATAAAAACATTGTTATGTTCAGAACCAATTTATTGAATATCTATGATCCCGATCTCCCAATAAAAATTTACACAGATGCTAGTATAAAAGGAGTGGGAGCGGTTTTAAAACAAGAAGATAAAAACGGGGACAATAGACCGGTTGCTTACTTTTCAAAAAAATTAAACGAAGTTCAAAAAAAGAAGAAGGCGATTTATTTAGAATGTTTAGCAATAAAAGAAGCTGTGAAATATTGGCAACACTGGCTTATGGGAAAAGAGTTTATGGTATACTCCGATCATAAACCCTTAGAAAATATGAACATCAAGTCTAGAACCGATGAAGAATTAGGCGATTTGACATATTATTTATCCCAATATAATTTTAAAATTAAATATAACCCAGGAAAATCAAATCAAGAAGCAGATTGTTTAAGCAGAAACCCAGTTCTAGAACCTTATGATAATAATGATGATTTTTTAAAAGTAGTCAATATCATAAACCTAGAAGATATAAAGAATGACCAAAACATAAATCTAGATATAGAAAAAGAAAAACTTATATTTGAAAATGAAATTTACCATAAAAAGAATTCAAAAAGTAAAAAAATTATACTATCTGAAGAACTTAGCAAGACTCTTATAAAAGATGTCCACGACACTTACTGCCACATTGGGAGAACTCAGATGATAAGTAAAATAACACCATTCTACACAGCAAAGAATATCATAGCAAACATTAAAAAAAATTGTGATGAATGTGAAATTTGTATAAAAAACAAATCAAGGCGGAAGTCGAAATATGGCTTAATGTCACATCTGGGTCCACCAACACGCCCGTTTGAAATTATTTCTATTGATACCATTGGAGGCTTTGGAGGATCACGGTCGACAAAAAAATACTTACACCTTTTGGTCGATCATTTTACAAGATATGCATATATTTTAACATCAAGAAATCAAAGCTCCAGTGATTTTATTAAACTAATTAAAAATGTGACACAGAGTTATAATATTGATATGGTACTAACCGATCAATACCCTGGAATAAATTCTAAAGAATTTAAAGAATTCCTAATAAATGAAAATATACGAATGGTTTTCACTGCTGTGGATTCACCTTTTTCAAATGGACTTAATGAAAGGCTTAATCAAACTTTAGTCAATAAGATAAGATGTAAAATAAATGAAAGTGATAAAAAGATAGCATGGACTACTATTGCACAGAAATGTGTGGAAAAATATAACGAAACGGAACACACAGTTACGAAATTTGCTCCAAAATACCTTTTGGAAGGCGAGAATGTGAATATCCTACCATGCGAATTGTAAACAAGATGCACAGAAGTAGATTTGAAAAGAGATAGGGAACTAGCTCTGGAGAACACAATAAAATCTCACAATTATAATAAAAAATTATACGACCGGCACAGGGAAGATTATAAATTGGAAGTGGGAGATAGAGTCTACGTGGAAAATGGGAATCGACTAAATAGGAAGAAAATGGATGAATTGAGGATTGGTCCATACAAAATACTGAAGAGGATTTCCAATTCAATATTTGAAGTTGATACCGGACGCAAAAAAGCGGAATCAAATTACTACCACATTACAAAGTTATCCCCTGTAATTGTCGATGAGTAACAGTTACATGTAATTGTTACTCTCTGTAGGGGGGGAGATGTAAGGAAAACATATTTTCCTATACAAACTCTTTTTATAATTTATTTTTCTTCTTTGCCGTCCGATCGACGATTTTTAATTTGTCACTTGACATAATAGATGTAAGATGTTTTAATTTTTTCATTACATTATTTTATTTTATAAAACCTAAAATAGAGGCTTTAAATGTTGTTTCTTTTGTATTCACAGGTGAGTGAATAATTTGTAAATATATATTTTTCATTAAATGTAAATTAATAGATATTTCTTTAGTAAATAAATCTTTTGTATTCACAGAGAAACGCAGTTGCGCCTTATTTATCCCCAGTACTCGTATAAGCGAGCATTATATATATTTTATAAATAAAATAAATTTATGAAAGTATTATAGTTCTTCATTTGATACAGTTAAGATGATTACAAAAGGGCCTATTTCTTGAGGTACTTGTGAACAAAAAATATTTCGAGTGATTTTATTTATTATTATTAATAAATATGACCTTGAAGATGAATACCGGACAGGTATTGATACTCTTTTCTAGATAAATGATTATTCGATAGACTTACACCGCAGTGCATTTTTTGATACGATAATATGATACAGTTATAAAAACCTTCGAAGTACTAAAATTATATCATAAGATCGCATTACCGCAATCCACATTTTATTACATCAATTACCAACGACATGTTTGTCGAGCAATTAAGAAATATCAAAGAACAAGACATTACTAAAATATATCTTATCTTTGACATCCGCGCCTAAAACGATACTAATTTCCATCACAGTACAACAACACGCACTAAAGATAAAAAAGACCATCTAATCAGAAATACAAACAGAAACTTATCTTCCCACTTATCTCTATCAATAGAGCTATAGTCTACGACCTACACAGATAAAGCCACTTATTGATTCTCGAGTTGTTTTGATACAGGTGTTATTACTAGATGTTGTGAGTCTAATAAAGCGGATACTGCTTGATTAGGTTAGAAGATTTGTTGGTCGGTATTTTAATGTATACTCTGTTTGTACTCAGAAACTATTATTTCAAATTGAAAGAATTTTTGAAGTTATACTTCATTTGACGCGTTAGGGAAATATGATGAGAGTAAATATTTACGATGCGCGCGCACACCGTCACAAAAAAAACCAACACCCCGAAGTTAGCTATAGTCCACATTTTAGTTTTTTCTATGTTAGTGCCGCATTTTCTAAAAAAAAATTTTTATGAAGCATAACTTCTAACGCGTGTAGGTACACACACGTTTTTTTATTTATTCAATTTTACATTTAGGCGGTATTTTAAAACGCCGGCAACGCACATGCCCCTGTTACTTAAAAAAAACAAGTAGCTCCAACATAGAATCCTCACTGACCTATTCCAATCTACTGCCAACAGCAGGCTAAAGCCCTTGTATGTATGTACATGAAGTAATAAACGCTTTTAAGACTAAATAAAATAAAAACATTATTTTAAGTACATTTTAATGTCGGCTATATTTTTTTAGTGTTTTAATGCAATTTTAAAGCACTTGGACATTTGCTCCATCAAACTGGTTTTGCGGGTCTCAGTATCGTAAATTGTGTCAATAAAATTAATATGGCGCGAATCAATTAACAAAATACACATGAAAGGAATAAAACATTAAATTTAAAGCCAATATAATAGAAGATATAGCTCCAAATTATATGCTAATTAAAATTAAAAAATTAAGCAGCCATAACTTAAAGCAATAAATTATTTTTATGGAACCGTTTAATTATTTAACACTGTGAATGTTATAAATGTTAAATGCGCACATAGAAAGAAAGTCCATTGATGCACAGCCGGGAATCGAACCTATGACCTCAGCAATTAATACTTGCTTATAAAGTAAAAGAAAACTTCATGAGTATACTGATGCCCAATAAACATGATTAACAAAATAAACAGACTGCGAATATCTCACTGAACTGAGGTACCTCGATACTAGAATGTGTCTCATTTAAATTGTGTACCACAAAGAACGGTTGCGTGGCCATTCATACACTATTTTATATTAAAATATTAAAACGCCTGAGTACCTCGTTTCCATATATTCTTAACAAGAAAGACACACAATTGTCAGTCGTAAGGATATGGAGAAAATTAGTTTGGACAACAAGAGAGGTTAGACTGATGATATACTACCTTACCTTTACAATAGTTCACAATACGCACAAATAATTACTAAAAAATTTAACATTGAGGACGTAACTAATAATGAATATAATTGGCAAAAAGGAAATCAAAATAAAAATTGTCTGTCTTTTATGGACATAACTTTTACACATAGAGAAACACTTTTTTACCGGATTGAAGTAAGTATTATTATAAATTTACAATTATTTTACATAATTTTAAATTTAACCGACGTTTCGCGCGCTTTACAGCGTGCGTGGTCACGGTGACTACGTCTACTATTACTATTATTTATAATAATACATAAAAAAGTGTTTCTCTAAAAATTGTCTACTATAACCCGAGCGAAACATAAAAGCAAGTGAATCAAAATGTGACGATTGGCCGAGTTAAAATTTATGAAAGTAAACATAATATGTATTTCGATAAATGTATGGGAAAACATACGTACTTACAAAATTTAGCACACGTTCTTGGTAGCCATCTACATACATCTGATGATGCTACTTTAACTGCAATGTAGAGTGTTCAGATGAGTGGTTCAGATTAATACCTGCAGCTAAGTTTCATCATCGGACGTCAAGGCAGAATACGAAATGCCGCGAAAAGAGTGTTTCTTAAGGCAGTTTTTGTCGCGCACCATCGACACGGGGTCCTTCAATAAAAGAGCATATCAATTCTTAAACCGCAAAGCATTTGCAAGCCTTCTGGCACACTATCATCAGGTGAGCCTCCTGCCCGTTTGCCCCCTATTATATTAAAGAATCCCAAATATTCAACGATATAACATATAAACAGGTTCTTAATTTAAAGATGCTGTATTATCCTTAATATTCGAAACTATTAATAATATGAAATGATTTATTGAAAAAGTTCCTTAACTTATAAATTAAAGTTGGAAACCTTTACGCCATGTGAGAAACAAACAGCTCCATTAGCGATAATTGTGTTAGCTCCGTCAGGCTTTATTTACTGAGTACATCCATCGTTGCACCTTTTAAGTAAATAAATATGTTAGGTACGGCTTTTATCTACACTCATTTTAACCTTTTAATCATTAGAAATATCTATTATGCTAAAAAGCAAGTGCAGTGCGCGATGCTGTAAAGTTAGGGGCAAATGTTTTGTGACGAATTAATTCATTAGTTGCTGTCAAAATTAAAACAAAGGCGTGACTAGTGCAACTTTTAGATAACTAAAAAGAAACTAGTGTAAAATATTCTAGTTTTTGTTATATTCTCTGGACTCGATGGTTTTAAATTTTTGACCCAGATTAATATCAGTTTTAATATCAAACTGATGCTGTATATTATTTCGTCATAAAAGTAAACTATTGTTATTGTTGAATTTGATTAAAAAAATATTCGTTATATTCCACCTTAACAGTTGCTTGATGAAACTCCAATTCGATGAAAAAATAGTTTATACATTCGTTTATACAACTCAAGACCAAAGCCAACCTTTTGGTGAAAAAATAAAGCAATGATTAAAAACAAACTAGGTCACATAGAATCATTAACTCAGGTTAATTAAAGGTCGGTACGTGAGCTATACACGTGAGGGATAAAAATAACAAAACTTCAATGTAGCTTTTAACCGTCTCACATGTTATTTATTATTCCGTTTAACCTGAATGATATAAATTCTAATTGCTAGACTTGATCCTTTGAATGCAGAAATGACTGTACCCAAGCGGTGTCACCTTTATGATATTTACGTTTTTATGACGCTGTATCTACGTTCAGTATTCGAATTACGTAATTCTAGTTATTTAAGCAAATTATGCTCATTAGTTGTTCTTTTTTTAGAAAATTATATCATTTAAAATTGCATATATATCATAATGATAAAATTTTGAATCTTTGCAATATGTAAACTCAAAAATGAACTAGAATATTTTATAGTACATCTATACAGCCATGAGGCAAAGGATCGATGCCTTTGAGATGTGGTGCTGGATGCTCAGAATACCCTGGACTGCGAAGCGCACCCATACATCGATACTGACCCAACTCCGCATACAGACTCGCCTGTCTAACATATGCCGACAGCGAATTGTATCTCATTTCGGCCTTACAAATACAACGATGGGAACTTGGAGAAACTGATCGTGGTTGGTAACACAGAAGGCAAAAGATCACATGGCGTTTCACCAAACAGTTGGACCGATCCAGTGAAAAATTGCCGAGAGGTGCCGGACGGAAACCAGTGGAAACAGATAGTCCGCTCCAGATGCTTCCTTGCTGACAACGACGGCCAGACATGAGCTGCCGATTAAAGAGAGATACAGCTACGAAATTGTGATGTGCAAGAGAAGCTCAAGTCTAGGTAGATGCTTCAGTAACGTGTTGCTACTATGCTTCTATACAATGTCCCTTCCATATATTATTCACCTCCTCGTAACCTCTTTTACAAATTTCCTGACTATGAACGTATTATATATTATATATAGTATTAAATCGCTGTAAACTAATAATTTACATTTTTACGAATAATTATCGCAAT